GAGGGACACATTCAAAACAGTGGCATTTAATAGGAAAACGGCTTTTCATGCCACTGAGTTAAAATAAAATTCACTCCATGTGTGTAGGATAGAGTGACCTGGACAACTATATGTGAAGGGGACTATGGGGTCTTAGTGGCCTTGAAGTATAATTTGAGTCAGCAGTACAACACGGTGGCCCCAGAGCTCATGTGATCACACACATTCAGTCCTTTAGTATTCTGTGATTTTTAACACAATGGTGGCTTAGCTTCTACGTCCTCTCTGTGCCTTAGTAGGGGCTCTCCATGAGTTGCTATTGCCAAAGAAAACTCCATTCCTTCCCCCCACCCCAAAAAAACCCCAAAACATCATCTTCAACTTTGATGGACGTCTCTGAATTTGGGTCAACTGGTCCTTGGACAACAAACACCGGTTTCTTTCCTGGAAACCTTTCCAGATTTGTAGGACTTCTCCATAGCCTTGGAGAACCCCTTCAGTCACCTCCATGACATGACAAGACCCAGTAGTTCTTTAGTAGAGAAAAGCTACCTTATACTGATTTAATAGATTGGTAATGGCCCAGAAAGGAAAGAGGAGAACCCTACTGTATACTGGGTCTCAGTCTCTTCATCTATGCATCAAGGGTCAAATTAAGCAGCCTTTCTGAGGAAGTTCCTTCCAGCTCTAGACCTGAGGGCTGCCACCATTTGGGAAAGATCTTGACTAGCAGGTGCCTGTCTAGGGAGGCTGACCAAGACGCCATGAGCAGAAGGAACTCGATGGAAGTGGTAGTGAAGTGGATTTGGGTTCAACTGAAGGACGAGCTTTCTAAGCGGGAGCTGTCCGGAAGCAGTGTGGGCAGCCTGTGGATGGGGGAGCTCTTTAAACAGAGGTGCTCTTTGTACCTCTGTATACCTGTTATTTACAGGCTGTCTCCCTACTGGGACGTGAGCTCCCAGAGGGCAGGGGCCTTGTTGTTGTCTTTATGTGGATCCCCAGCACTTAGGACGGTGCCTGGTCCAGTGTTAGCACTTGGAAAGTACCATCCAGCTCACTGAATGATGGCTCCTGCCAAGGGAGGCTGTCGGCGCTGGACGAGGTCACCAGCGCCATGAATTGTGGGAAACTCCCTTTTCGAGTCTCCCACTGACCCACGACTCAGAAGACAGAGCATGGCCCATGCTGGGAGGCTCCCAGACGCGTTTCCCGTCATCACATGCACAGGTGTCCCAGCTCTGCTCCTTGCTGCCAAGATTGGCGAGCTGTGCTGTGAACCAAAGGTGGAAACCTTGCAGATCCCAGTGAGTTAGGTAGCGCCAAGTACACAGAAAGAGCTTACTAAATGCTTGATGATTGACCGGCTTGGCTCTGCCATAACCTGAGAAACCTTGGGGAAGACACCAAGATGTCCGTGCAGGCCTCACTGTTGGGCCGTCTAATGTGTGAAACAGTTCCGATCCCTCCCTCCCTCTGAGAAAGCACAGGAGATCAAAGGGCACGGGGCTATGGCGGTATCACAGAACAATGGGATGTCTCGGGGTATGAGACAAGAAAGCTGATCATTAAATTTTCAGTGTGCCCGTTTGTACCTCACCCCAGAAGTCTGCAGACATTTCATATCAGGACTTGATGTATTCTTGTGCTGATTTTCTTAAACTTAAGAAAGTGATGAAGAAAATATGAATAATGAAGGTTTAACTTAAATGTATGTCAAGTGTATCTATTTTTTTCCTGGAGAGCCGGTTGTTAAACGTCTACCGGTACACCCCTGCTCAGATTCATCCCCAGAGAAAAATTCACACTCTAGTATGGCAGTGCTGTGCCCTGTGACCCTGGGGCTGCTGTTCTCAGAATCCAGCCCCTTCGGGAATGAGAAAATGTTGGCTGGGCCTTGGGGCTGACCAGGAGGCATTCAGGCAGCTTGAACCTCTTAGAAGCAGGGGAGGGGAGAAGGGAGCTTTTTTTTGTTGTTTGGAATGTTTGGAATGGACTGTCTAGACACCTGACTTAGGCCAAGTCTTCAGGGGGTCTGTTAAAGGGGCCCTCCCCCCAAGGATTTGCTTATTGGCAGGCAAAGGCTTCTCCTGCTCTGAGGCCAGAAGGGAAATACCAACCTGCCCATTCAGCATGCACACCCCTTAACTGAGTGGTGGGCAAGGCGTGGGGAACTGTGGGAGCTTTCTGTTGTCTGGGAGCAGCTGGCTGGAAACCATCCCTCACACACATTTCCCTTCAGCAGGAAACTCCCTAGACTCCAGTGTCTTAGAGACTAAAACTTCCCCTGGTTGTTTTCTAAATCACTTTGCTGATCTAGCAACTTTCTTCTGCTCAGAAGACATTCCAAGGGTCTTAGTCAGCTGGGGAGGAGGGACCTGAATTTTGTGGTGATGAGGGGAGGATGAGATAGAGCCTGGGTGGTTTTCTTTACAGTTTTCTGGCAGCAGTCAAGGGGAGGAGAATGGGACTTGGAATTGGGAGCCTCGGTACAGAATTATGCCCCACTTACCTTCCCCATGCCTCAGTTTCCTCCTCTGTAAAAAGGGGGGTGGGTGGGACTGACCAGATGACCTCTGAGATGCCTGCATGATCATTGAGGGCTGAGACTGGTAGGGGCAGGAGCCTTCTGGAGAAGGGCCCAACCAGCTATGGGAAGGGCACCCTGGACAGATCATGGTTGTAAGGAAGGTGGGCCTCACGTGGGGGGGAAAGGCAGAGGGGTTCTGTTCTTCCTGGAGGGTGGAGGTGCGGAGGGTGCTGGAATGTAGGAAGTGATGTCCTAAAGTGCAGAAAGTGTCCCAGCAGCCCCTCCTGCTCAGTCAATGAAGGAGGCTTCTCACTTGGTGCTGTTGGAGGCAGGTAGATGGGAGCTGTGGTTCCAGTCTGGCCGCCGCCTGGACGCCTGAGCTCAGGCCAGTAAGTTATCGAGCTATTCTGAGCTTTGGGGTTCTCCTTTGTAAAAAGAAAGGGCGGAGAAGGGCTCAGACAACTGACACGAGCTGTATTGGACCGAGTGTTGACAGAGGAGACCAGTTCTAGACGTGATCTAGTCGTGAGGACCCATTTCTGAGGTATCTGAAGGGTAGAGGTTACTAAGGGCAAGGAGAAAAGCGAATACCTTACTGATGCCAAAAAGAGTACCAGAAGCCATTAAAGATGACCTGCCGTGAGAATAGCACCCACCTAGGAAATCCCTGACTGAGGTCTGGTGGGGAGCAGGATGACTTTGACATTTTTACTGGGATTGACTGAAAGATAGAGAAGTACGGGATCCCACTGCCCTATGTTTGTTAATTTAGCACCGGGCCTGCTGTTTTCCAACAAGGTGGGTCTCCCCTCAACGTCCAATTCTGCACAACCCTTTGGAAGGCAGAAATGGGCTTTTCCAAGGGCCTTTCTGCATCAATAATTATTCATCACAATCCCAGAGAAAATCCTGGCAAGTCCAAGTAGACTCAGAGCTCCCGGGGACCCTTGAGACTGCTGATGCAGCCCCCCTGTCAGCCCCTCGTCCTGGAGTGCCTGGAGGTGTCGGTGGTGAGGCCTTGCCGAGGTTTGCCATGGGATGACAAGGTGTCATCTCCTTCCAGTCAAGTAACTAGCCCGACTTGGCTATTCCTCTCCTGCCGGAGGAGGAGGCCCCTAGGAGGAGGCCTGCTGCCTGGGTCCTTGTCTGGGAGGCCGTGCAAAGGTGGCTGGTACTTGGGCCACCTAGTTATCCCCTTTGCTTAGTTAGAACGGGGCCTGGCACAGTCAGGTGCTTAATAAACGCTTGTTGATTAACTAAAAATAAGGTGTGAAGCCATTTTCTAAAAAACCGTGGGGTGCAGTGTGCTTCTCTTTGCTCTAATGGGATATGACCAAGTACCTGCTTGTGAGCTCTCCATATTAACTTGTATCTTCATAAGCTCAACTCTGGGAAGGGAAGAAAGGAGGGAAAGAGAAGTAAAACAAGGACAAGGAGAGCTAAGAATGATAGTGACAACAGTAAGCCGGCTCCTAATTGGAACGAGCCGTCCCGGGGCCCAAGCTCCAAGCCTCTGGCCGAGCTGGTCATCCAGTAGGCAGCTAGTGACATCTACTGGCCTGGGCTCTGCCTCACAAAGCCAGCTGTGTCCTGCGGGGGCTGCACTTGCCGTCTGCTCTGCTTTCATCATTTTCCAGCGATGCAGAATCATGGTGACTTTACTGGACAAACGGTTTTAACTTCAAAGAGGAGGGAAAATAATCACGATCCAGCCAGTTCAAGGTGGGCCCAGCTGTCTGGCTCTCTGTACCTTCCCAAGTAGGGAGAGGTAGGGTTTTCCTGCTACAAATGAGTGACCTGAGTCCCCTGGACACATGTTCTCCCTTCCATGCTGGACCAGGGAGCCTGCCTGCCCTTCGGGTCCCCGGAGCCTTTGCTGCGCCCTCCCACGAAAGGTCCACTGGAATCCTTGTTTTCCAGCGTGTCAACAGAGGCTCCTACATGACCCAGAGTCCTCCTGGAAAAGGATGTTAAGACAGGGCCAAATGGGTACCTGGTGGGCAGGGGCTGAAAGAGAGGACACGAAGAAAGCTTCGGGCGGCTTATTTTCACAGTTGACTTTCACACTTTCTGGCCACAGACACCACGCCTCACCCTGCTAATCCAAAGAAGCGATTAGATCCAGACGTCTCCGTATCTGCTGTGTGAGAGGCCCTTTGGTTCCAATGAGTGAAACAACTGTGATTGTGTGTTGTTGTTATTAATAGAACATTCCTACTTTGTCTACACACGCCCCATTTCAGTTTCAGAATCCTGGATAATGGAGTGTGAGAGTGTTCTCTGTGGAAACCACAGAGTCCTGGGCAGGCTTACCTTTCTGAGGTGGGAGGAGCTCAGGTGTAGACCTAAAAGGGACCCGAGAACTGCTCCGGCCTAGGGTCAGGGGTGCTTGCCCAAGGTCTGAACCCAGGATCTCTGGCCCTTTCCATGATGACCGCTGTGGTTTGGGGTTCGATTCCTCGCCTGACAGGTTTTCTCGTAATGTCTCTTGTAGATTCTTCTTCTGGAAGCCGCTGGGAGTGTGGCGACTTCAGAAAATGACATTACCAAGACAGCCCCGACCTGGAATAAGGATTTCTTACCGGATGCCATCCCACTGTCTAATCCTGGGACTATGAGGAGGAACCCTTCAGGACCAGTCGGTGAGTGTGTCTTCAGGGTCCTGGAGGAGACGGTGCTGTAGCCCTGACAACTCAGAAGCTACAGCGCCCGAGGGGCCCTTAGAGACCCTCTAGAGTCCACTCCCCTCACTCTTCTGCCTGCTGGCCAGCTGGCATGGATCCTCCCCACAATATCTTTCCTTATATCTAAGATAGGACCTTGAGAGGGGTGAGTAGAATCCAAGGTGGGGTCTTGGGAAAGGCTCAATACAAGAGGAATGGGATGGGGACCTGACAACTCACCAAGACCTTAGACTCATGGAGTTGTGCTCAAAAGGCGGAATCCAGAAATGGGGCAGACCAGGAAGAAAGAGAGAAAAGCTGAGTCCCTGACTCTAATCCCCTGAGCAGGATGGGCAGGAGCAGGGCACCACAGATCAGGACTCCTGCTGCCTTTCCCTGGGGATGTCTCTGGAAATTCTCCGGGAGTGGGTATTCCACCCAGGACACAGATGACGAGCCCTCCACGCCTTCACCGGGCATAGGGCTTGGAGCTAAACAGGCAGTAGAAACCTTGGAAATCATCTGCTCCAAACTCCTCGTTTTACAGCTCAGTAAACAATGGAGTAAACTAAAGAGGATGTCAGCAAGCATTTATTAAGTGTTTACTATGTACCAGACGCTGTTAAACACCGGAGAGGCACAAATGTTCTCTGCTCTCCGGGGAGGCCTCAGCCTGGTGGGGAGGGAGCAGCAAAATGGCCTCTTCTTCTCCTTAGTAAAAAGAGGGGCGGGGAAGGAGTCTAGAACTGGCCGGAGGAGCAGAGGAGACGATCTGTTCTTGTTGGCCACGTCACTGGTGCCCCAACCTTGACCAGCAACGTCAAGAAGTCTTGGAGAAAACTGCCCTCTGCCCCGCTTTGGTTCCTGGCGGCCACTGCCCCCACCCACCCACCCTCAGCCAGGTTTCCCTCCTACAGTCACCTGACAACAGGAGTCTCCGGACAACCTGTGTGGAAGATGACCATCAGGCCCTGAGAGGCGGGGAGGGGGCGGGGTGGAGTAAACTGGGACTCAGAGACGCTGAGTTCAAGTCGTGGCTCCTCCCTCCCGGGTTGTGAGGAGTGAATGAGATAGTAATTGTGAAGTGTGTGGCACAGTGCTTGGCACACAGTAGGTGCTTAGTAAGTGTTAGCTGTTACAGAGTTGTTGTTCTTGTGAGGAAAGGCCTCTAACCCTTAACATGCTCTGGACGTGGAGACCCCTGCCCCGAAGCAATTCACAGTCTGCTCCTCTAGCTGCAGGTTTCCCCAGGATTCTACCAGTGGCTCATTTTTTCTTGTTCTTGTTTTTGTTTTTCCAATGCAATTGGGGTTAAGTGACTTGCCCAGGGTCACACAGCTAGTAAGTGTCAAATGTTTGGTCTGAGACCTGGATTTGAACTCAGGTCCTCCTGACTCTGGTGCCCTATCTACTGTGCCGCCCAGCTGTCCCAGCAGCTCACTTATTCTAAGCAAAATTCAGCACAGCAAAAAAATGGGGGAAAAAATTTCATGCCAGTTATTGGTGTAAGAATTTGCCTCGTGCCTTCTGAGTTACCTCAATGGTTGCTTAGCATTTGCCATTAAATCTTGAAGCCTTGATAACCCCAAGATGTTTTCTCAAAGGACCTGGATTCCATCCCACTGCCAACCTTGGGCAAGACTTTTGACCTTCCCAAGGCTCGGTTTCCTCATCTGTAAAATGAGGAGATTGGCCTAGATGCCCTGACTCCCTTCCAGCCTCAGGTCTCTGATCCAATGATCTTGTCACTTGGAATCTCTATGACCTCACTGGGAAATAAATGAAGCAGTCTTCTGGGGGTGAACCAGCTGTAGGTGCCCTCATCGTTGGCCTTCTTTCTGCAGGATTTGCCGGACCAATGGGACCTCCAGGACCCGTGGGCCCCACAGGGCTCCCAGGGCCACCTGGACCAGCAGGAGAAAGGGGCCAGATGGGGGAGATGGGCCCCAGGGGGCCACCTGGTAAGTCTCTGGAGGGCAGATTTTCCTTCCTGCCCATCCTTCACATGCTGGGCTTCCATCCATCATGGGAGGTGGGAATCAGGCCCTCTCCTGCTGGCCTCATCCAGCATCCGGTGGCCAGGAGAACCCCACCCTCACCCCAGTGGCCCGTTCAGATTCATTATGAGCTGTAGCATTGGAGTTGGCTGGCTCCTGCCGCCGACAGCCCGGGAGCCCCTGGTTTTTCACTCTGCCCCTCATTTCCTGCCAGCCTGGTCAGGTGTCTGTCCTCTGTACCTCGGTTTACTCGTCTGAATGGGGCAGGCAGGTGGAGAAAGGCCTGAGCCTGTACTAGCCCTGCCAGTGGGGCCCTCATTCCCTGCCAACCCCAGACTTTTTCCAGGAGCAGGCTGTGATGTGCCTCCCCACTCCCAGGGGGCCTATCTCCTTGGCGGCTTGGGACTCCCAAAGAGGCAAGATGAGGCCCTGCTGGGGCTTCACCAGCCTGCTGCCGTCTCCCCAGCTGCTCCTGAGGCCAGTGCCTTCCCTGGCTGAGGCCAGAGATCCTCTGGCTGGGGAGACCCCTCCTAGGGCTGGTGGCCAGGTTCTTCTCCCAGCTCTCAGGAGAGGCATTTTCCATCCATGGGTCTCCTTTACCTCTTCTGGGAAGTCAGGATAACATTCCCCATGACCCTTCCCTCCCAGGGATGTTACAAAAGGGTTGAGTGAGAGCCAAAAAGCATCTGCACAAAATGTGGGATGTCAGTGCTAGAAGGGACCTTCGAAAGGACCAAGGCTAGCCCCTTCATTTTAAAAATGAGAAACTGAGGCCCAGAGGATGGAAATGGCGACTAGAGGGTCTGGCACCTGTCTGGGGCAGGACCAGAACGTAGAGCCCAGTCCTCCGCCTTCCGAGGACGCGGCTTGTCCCCAGGGCCCAAGGGGCTCCCCTGCTTCTCCCCTGCCTTTCCTGTTCAGTGTGGTCATGATTACTCCCCGAAGGAAAAAGAGGACCTAGCTGTTAAGAAGATGTTCCATTATTGCTACAAAATGCTAACATACGGCATCAAGAAACAGGACAAGAAGTCAACTTGTCCATGCCCCTGCCACCAGGCTTCAACCTTAAACCTTGTCCTTACACTGCTGCAGAAATCTAAAGCTCTTTGCTGCCCCACCCCCAGCTTTCATGCCTGCGTGGACAACTCAGGATTCTTGCCTTTTTCTCTGAATTTTAGGGCTCCTGGGGCCTCAGGGTCCAAGGGGACTTCCTGGAGAGACTGGGCTCCCTGGGCCTCCTGGGCCTCCAGGCCCTCCTGGCAGCCCTGGTCTTCTGCCTCCACTCCAGCAAGGTGTTTTGTATTCGCTCCAGCCCACGGGAGAGAAAGGAAGTAAGTGTTTGCTGGGCTTCTGTGTGCCTGTGCCAAGGAACTGGGAGGGGGATTCTCTGTGCCGAGGGAAGGCCAAGCTTCGTCCCCCCACCCCCACCCCCTGCTCTCTCTGCGTCTTCTTCTCCTTGGGTGGAAGAGTTGGGTCTGCAGCCAATAGCAGGAGAAAAAGTAAGAAGGTAGAGAACAAAGAGAAGTCACGTGTTTGGGGTCAGCAGAGGTCACTTGGGAGCCGGGGAAGGCCCAGGCAGGGCCTGCTCTTGAAGACATCCATGAGCCTGGCTCTGTCTACCCCTGAGGTGGCCCACGTGGTGCCTCCTTTATCCTTAGATCCTGACCCTGGTGATCATAACCCTAAGCTGGACTGTGGTCTAGCCTTGACCAACCTAGCTGTCATAGCTCAGAAGGAAGAGCTGCAGCCCCTCTCCTAAAAATGACCTTTAGAACCTACTGAAATTCTGTGCATTGTGAGCGGCTCCAGCCCCTGACATGACCACCCCAGTCCCTGAATCATCTCAAACAAGCGAGATCATAGACCGCATTTTACAGAGGAGGAGAAGGGGCCTGTCCAACGGAGTGGGCCTCATGGGCAGGATTTGAACCCAGGCCCTCTGATTCCTATGCCCTTTGCGCTGCAGCTATGTGAGGTGCTCACCATTCTGCTGTGGAGTATAAACAGGAGAGTTTGGGAGGGAGAGAGGGCCCCCAGTCAGGCTCAATGTGAAGGTCCAAAGTGCATGTGGAGGGCTGGGGCCTCCCTGGGGTCACCTGGCTGGGCAGGCTGCACTTCCCTGCCACCTCTCTGGCAAGAGCTTTGTCAGAAGGGCAGCAGGAGCTTCTCTGCTGCCAAGGCGCACTGGGCGGTAGAAGGCCGGCCGCCGTCCTGTTGCACTACCTTGGAGCCCTTGCTTGCCTTCCCTGGACCGGACTCCTCGTGTGTGGGGAGGCAGCCTTGAGGACCCTGAGGCCGCTCTAGAACTAAGGGTCAGTGGCTGAGAAAGGAGCCGGAGCAGCCTGGATGGGCGAGCAGGGAGGCCCGGGTCACTCGAGGCCCTCAGCCACCTGATCAGCTCCTGAGGGCTTGGCCCAGACCTTCCCTCTGCCCTCCCAGGATCGGTTGTACTTGACAGCAGTCGCTTGCCAGGCCTTTGGGGGAAGGGAGTGTGAGTTTCCTCTTCCACCTGTGGCATCATGGCCTTCAGAGGGAGGAAGAGATTGGCAGCTTTTCGTGGGCTGCCTCCCCTGCCTCCGGAATGATGGCAGCCACGCCGTCACACTGTGCCTCCGTCCCTTGGAGAGGCTCCCATGGGAGCCGCTGTGGGTCTCCTGGGGCAGGTGAGGAGCTGTTGTGACTCTCTTACAGATGGCGACTCCCAGGTGTCTTCTACCATCATAGACACCATCATGGCGGGGATCCCTGGGCCTCGGGGCCCCCCTGGCCCACCAGGTAAGCAGAAGGCCAGAGACACACGTGTGATGTCGGTGCTACTCGATTGGGAACCGAGCCAGTCCTTTACCGCCAGCCACGGCCTGATCCCAGAGCCCCAAGCCTAACGTGCATGGGCACCAGGAGGCATCCTGGCACAGTGGAGAGTGCAGCGTCTCTGGAATTGGACCCTGGGTTTAAATCCTGCCTCTGTGTGACCCTGGGCCAGGCTCTTTGGTTCCCTGCGCCTCTGTTTTCTCGTCTTTAAAATGAGGGGGTTAGAACTGATGGCCTCAGTAGAGCTGGGATCCTGTGAGTGCACCATGGCCTGCCTTGTTCCCACACACCAGGCCTGTTGGTCGCTCTCATAGTGGTTCTAGGTCTCACTAGGTCACTGCCCTACACAAAAGGCCGAGTGCCTCTCTATTTGTCAGTCAACAAGCATTTATTAATCACCTATTGTATGCCAGGCACCGTTTTAAGTGCTGAATACACAAAGAAAGGCAAAAAACAGTCCCTGCTCTCTCGGCTCCCAGTTTAACAGGGAGAAGATGTTCAAACAGCTGTGCACAAGCAGGTATAGACAGAGAGGCCAGAGATTAGTGTAGAGGGAAGCACTAAGGAAAGACTGAGAAATGCTTCTTGTGGGACTTTGGCAGAGGTCTGAAGGGAGCCAGGGCAGTTAGGACACAGAGGAGACAGGGCAGAGTGAAGGGCCCTGCTTTCGGGAGGGAGGCTCATATGGCAGGGCCGGGAAGGGAGCAGGGCCACGGGATTGCACAGAGACATGACGGCGTCACAGGGGAGGCAGAGGGTCAGAACTCTGGAAGCTGGGAAGGGGCTAGGTCCTGGAGAAGGGCTTCAGAAGCCCAGCGGAGGGTTTCCTGTTTGATCCTGGAAGGAATGAGAGCCAGTGGGGTTTACTGAGTGGACGGGATGGAGCGACATGGTCAGAGCTGCCCGATAGTGGCTGAATGGAGGAAGGACGAGTCAGAGAGACTCGAGGCAGGCAGGCCGACCCCAGCAGCGACTGCAGGATCCCTCCTGGGCTAGCTCACACAGGTTCAGGTGGACTTCATCTGTTTCCTGGCTCTGGCAGGCTACCTCTGGCTGAGTCAGGAGTCCCAGATTTAAATCCAGGGCTCAGAGACAACGCTGCCCATATGATCCATTTTCTGGATGACTCGTTTATGGATCGATTTTTCATTCTGCTCAGAAAAGGGATCCTTGCAGTCCATTCCAGTACAAGGCCCTTTGCTTCTCTGCGCCTTAGTTTCCTCATCTGTAAAGTGATAGGTTGGACCAAAGGGCACCTGAAGTTCTTCCAGCTCTGGACCCAGGGTCTTGGGATCCTCTATGGATTCCGGGCAGCTGATTCTATCCGGTTTCCTATACCCATGCCTGTGACCGGCCGTAGGGAGTGGCTTGGGCAGGGAGGTTAACAAGGGAACCTGCCTCTTGCATGAAACTGATGCAAGTGATTTCTTTGCCCACAGGACCACCTGGACCCTCTGGACCCAATGGCCCCCCAGGTCCCATGGGAGCTCCAGGCTCCCAGGTAAGAAAAGCCACATCACTGGCCTAGGATGGGGTAGCAAAGAACGGTGGGCCTGGACATGGAGGGAAGCGTGTGTTTAAAAGGAGAAACTGAGTCTCCCTCTCGTCCCCCCTTTCCACTGAGGTCACCTCCAAAGTGGTTGTTGGAGGGTGGGCCAGGCCTCTTCTCTCTGCTCCTGGATCTTGTGGCCTCTCACCTCCATGGGAGGGCAACGTTTAATCTGGATAAATGTGAAGCAATACGTGGTAGCCTTAGAAACAACAGCAGACCTTCTGTCATGACCCAGGAGCCTCGACTTGACCTAAAATACTTACGTGGAGCAGAGTATCGAGATTAAGTCTGAAATCTTGCCTCTGCCGCTTACTTCCTGTGTGACCTTGAGCAAGTCTGGGCCTCAGTTTTCTCATCTACAAAATGATGGGATTAGACTGGGGTGCCTCTCGGGTCCCTTCCAGCTCAGACCTGTGAGCTACAAGTCTCCAAGCACCATTATGGTTGCCAGCCGACATGCATAAACATCCCGGGGGAGCTGTGTCTCACGCAGTGCCGCGGCAGAAACACTCTTCTCTCAGGTATCCCGTGGAGCTGGCAGATGCTGCAGGCTTACTCTCCCATCTGCCGAGATTCCTGGTTGCATATTTGCAGTACAATCATCAAGTCCCTGTACTGAGGGATGTCACTGACGCTTTCCTTGACACAGCCCATCTCCTCCACAGGAAGGCTGTCTCCAAGCCCAGATCCAGCCCCAAAAGCTCTTCCCCCACAAAGAAGCTTCTCTGAATGAGCAATTGGTCCCAGCTGCTGGTCTCCGTCCTCTCTCTGCAGCCCTCAGTGACTGCCCTTCTTTGTAGGAGGGAGTTTGGCCAGACAAACCCCACTGTCCTGCAGCTTAATGTGGTACCTCTCCCTGTGTGTGTCTGAATTGGAACAGAACATACCTGGAGAGCCATGTGCTGACCCAAAAGACTGAATTCCCACCATCAGGGAACGGTGGGAACTTCAACTGTGGCTGGCAGAGTGGAGTGACCACCTATCATGGATGGCAGCTGTCTGCAGCTGAAGCTTGGGTCGGTGCATCACGGAGAAGGGAATTGGCCTCATGCTCCAGGACTTGGGAAGCTGCCCACACCTTCATGGCATGGAATTAATCAGTTAGCATGCAGCCTCCTTGAATAAGCTCAGACATGGCTGGACATTTGCTTTCTTTTTTTTATTTACAAATGTTTTATTTCTTTCCAATTATATGTGAAAACAACTTTTAACAGTTTTTTTTTAATTTTGACTTCCAAATTCTCTCCTTCCTCCTTCCTCTCCTCCCTCAATGAGAAGGGAAACAATCTGATATATGTTATACATGTTCAGTCATGCAAAACATATTTCCATATTAGCCGTGTTGTGAAAGAAAACACAGACCAAAAAGAAAGTTAAAAAAGTGCTTCACTCTGCACTCAGACTGCATCAGTTCGTTAGAGGCAGATACCATTTCATCATAAGTCCTTCAGAATCGTCTTGGATCATTGAATTGCTGAGAACAGCGAAGTCATTCACAGTTGATCATTGGACAAAATTGTGTTACTGTATACAGTGCTCTCCTGGTTCTGCTCACTTCACTTTGCATCAGTTCATATAAGTCTTTCCAGGATTTTGTGAAAGTGTCCTCCTCGTCATTTTTTATAGCACAATAATATTCCATCCTAATCGTATGCCACAATTTGTTCAGCCATTCCCCAGCTCAGATCCTTTAACGCAGAAGCGGTTAAATTATGTGTCATCCTGGCTCTGGCTCCTTGATATTTGAATCGTTTCTTTCTGGCTGCTTGCAGTATTTTCTCCTTGATCTGGGAGCTCTGGAATTTGGCTGTACTATTCCTGGCAGTTTTTCTTTTGGGATCTCTTTCAGGAGGTGATTGGTGGAGTCTCAATTTCTATTTTACCTTCTGGTTCTAGGATGTCAGGGCAGCTTTCCTTGATAGTTTCTTAAAATACGATGTCTAGGCTCTTTTTTTTTTGATCAAGGCTTTTAGGTAGTCCTATAGTTCTTAAGTTATCTCACTTTGATCTATTTTCGGGTCAGTTGTTATTCCGATGAGGTATTTCACATCTTCTTTTTTATTGTTTTGATTTTGTTTCTTGATGTCTCATGAAGTCATTAGTTTCTACTTTCCTACTTCTAATTTTTAAGGAGTTATTTTCTTCAGTGAATTTTTGTACATCTTTTTCCATTTAGCCTATTCTGGTTTTTAAGGTATTTTCTTCAATATTTTTTGTGCTTCCTTTACTAAGCTATTTACTATTTTTTCATTATTTTCTTGCATCACTTATTTCTTTTCCAAATTTTTTTCTCTACTTCTCCTACTTGATTTTTTAAAATCCTTTTTGAGGTCTTCCAGAAATTCTTTTGGTTCCTGAGACCAATTCACATTTCTCTTTTGAGGCTTTGCATTCAGCTGTCCTTGACATTATTTTCATCTGAAGTTATGTTTTGATTTTCCCTGTCACTAAAGTAACTTTCTATGGTCAGGCTCTTTTTTTTTCCCTCATTTCCCCAGCCTATTTGTTGACTTTTAACTTTATGTCAAAATTGGGCTCTGCTCCCGGAATGCAGGGAACACTGTCCCAAGCTTCAGGTTTTTCATGCTGCTGTTTTCAGAGCTAGTTCATGGTGTGTGTGGGGGGGCAGGGTGTCTATAAATTTTCAGTTCCTCTAAGGTGGTATGATCTAAAGAGAGGTGTGGTCACTGTTCTGGCCTGTGAGCAACCACGAGCACTCATTTCCCTCCTGGAACTGTGACAAGGGACCCCACCCCTGCTAGTGCTCCTCCTCACCCTGGGACTGTGACCCAGAACTGTGTATGAACAATGCAACAGAGTCCTGCACCCAGTGCCAGCAAAGGATCTCCTGTAACCTTCTGACCAGTTGTCTGACCCCCTTACCTATGAGCTGAGGGCTCAGAAGCTGCTGCCGCTGATTCAGTCACTCTCGAGCCTGCGTCTGGCCCGCTGGGTGTAGCCTGCACTGGCCTGTGCTCTGCTCTCACCCCAGTGAAACAGGCCTTTTCTGCTAACCTTCTAAGTTGTCCTGGGCTGAAGAACTGTTTCACCCCAACCTTTTGTTAGTCCTGCCACTCTAGAACTTGTTTTGAGGCATTATTTTAAAGTTGTTTGGAGGGGAATTTGGGAGAGCTCAGGCAAGTCCCTGCTGTCTTGGTTTTCCCCTTGGTCACTTGCTTTCTTCATCTTTAATTGGACACTGGACCACATTCCCAGTGGTTTATCCCTTCTGTCCCAGCCCGCTGCCGCAGTAGCTGCCCGTGACAGACTCACAAAGACAGCACAGGGCCCAACCATCCACCCCGAAGAGTGCCTGCCATCCAACTCTCCCTTGAAGACCGCCATCAAGAAGGCGTCCTCTCCCTCCCAGGGCAGTCCCTTCTGCTTTCAGCTGGCTCTGGGAGCGAGCTTTCTTTTCCTAACACAAAACCCAACTTTGCCTCTCAGCAGCGTCCACTAGTTCCTTGTTCTGCCCTCTGAAGCCAGGAATGGATTAATTCCTTCCTTGAAGACAGTCACCCTGTCTTTTCTTCCCTAGGATCATAGAATTTCCCCAGTCCCTTCATTGGATGGATAAGGCATGACCCCGAGGTCTTTCACCCTTTGTTCTGACCTCCCATGGGTGGATGCTACACAGTTTGCCTTTGAGAAGATCCTTCCTAAGATGTAACACAACAACACTGAGCACCGCGCTCCCGCGACTGGAGTGGAGCACGTGGCTGTCACCTTCCCAGAGCACATTGTGCCTCTTTTAATGCACCTTAAAGCTATGTCAGTGTTCTTAGCTGCTGTATTGCCCTATTAACTCATATCGAGCAAAGTCCACTAAGAGCTCTAGATCTTTTTCTCTCCAAACTCATCTCTCTCATCTTATACTCATGAAGGTAATTTTTTTTAACCCAAGTCTAAAACTTTATATTCATCCCTATTAAATTCCATCTGTCACAGGGGGTTTTCTGGTTTGTTTGTTTTTTGCAAAGCCTCTGGTCTCCATTTCTTAGCATCTTCTAATAGCCTCCACCTTTGCTCTTAATGGGCCACATCTTGCATTGGATCTCTGATGTCACTGCCACAGGCTTTCTCCTTCTCTTCCCACCCTGACCAGCCCAGCCTGTGGTCACATGGAGACGTGAATGGTGGAATAGATATTTCCCATCTAGCGTGATTTGTGGAAATTAGAGGCAGGGCCCACTACCACGAAGGATTTCACCAAGTGCCTGGTTCAGCACCTGAAATCCCATCGTTCTTTCTTTTGGCTTACCTTGTAGGTTCTGTGGCTGTCCTTGGGTAAAGCCCAGCAGCGGTCAGCACAGATCTGACTGACCTCTAGCCTCGGGACTGGGGCTAACCACTGTGGAAACAACAAAGCACAGACCATGTGTGCTGGCACACCCAGCCCTGACTGTGCCCTCCAAGTCCTTGGGCAATAGGAGCCAAACCTTGGCTTCCCTAAGCCACGTGTCCTAAAACATTGACACTCTCCTCTTCACTCTCCTTGCTCTCCCTCCCATTTCCTGTCTGCTCTAAGTTTCCCAGTGTTAGGTTCTCCAAACACCAGTAAGTATTCCTTGAGATCCTACTATCTATTCACAAGGCTCGCATCTGGGTGTTGTGAGGGATGGGAAAACATGTCCCTGAAATAATAGTTTAGAAGTTTCTGAGACTTTACAGGTCATCTCAGGCAAGCCTATCATTTTATGGATGGGGAATGAGGCTTGAGGAGCTTATGTGACTTATCCAAAATGAACACAAGCGGTGAGCATACCTAGGATTCCAACCCAGATTCTCTGGCTTCAAATCCAGTCATCTTTCAATTGCCCATCATACTGCCTCTTGTGGATGAAGGTCACTGAGCTTTGTGGCACTTCCAGGACTCCCTCAATGGGGCCCACATTCCCACCAAGTGGCGCCCTCCCCCCATCCTGTTATGATGGCCCCACCCCACAGGG